CCTGATGCCCTCAAACACTTGCCTCACTGAGCCTCCTACAACATATTTTGGAGTTTGCCAGCGAAGTGTGTGTGCTGAGACCGATGATGCCACATGCTGACACTTGTCGGATTGAAGGCTTAGTAGCGTGGTCAGGCATGGCAACAACCCAGCTCTCCCGCTTCACCAGCGGCTTTTATGTGCTAGGTCGCTCATAACTTGGTGCTCTCTCCTTCTCTCCCTATTAACAGAAAGTCGTTTGCTTTTAGTGCCTCCTGTATTCTACGAGCAGACTAATCTTCAAAGGCAATTTTGATCCTGTCTTCCCCCACCCATGAACTCATGATAACTCCCTTTGCTTGTTGCATCAAATTTAGAATTCATAGTCGAATTCAAAGCTTCAAATGAGCTCCAGACTTCCTCCTTTTATTTTATTTTTTAAGCCTCATCTCAGGATATGCCCATTGGTTTTAGAGAGAAGGAGGAGGAGGGAGGGAGGGAGAACAAGAACATCAATAGATTGCCTTCTGTATGTGCCCCGACCAGGAATGGAACCTATGGCCTTTCGGTATATGGGACGGTGTTCCAACCAACTGGCCAGGCCAACCTTTCTCCTTTTAAATATGTGCTTCTTTTTTAAAAAATTGATTTCAGAGAGAGGAAGGGAGAGAGAGAGAGGGAGAGGAATGATCGGCTGCCTCCTGCACGCCCCCTACTGGGGATCGAGCCCACAACCCAGGCATGTGCCTTGACCAAGAATCAAACCATGATCTCTTGGTTCATGGATTGACATTCTACCACTGAGCCACACCGGTCTGGCCAACCTTTCTCCTTTTAAATCCAAGCCAAAGAATATACTTTAGTCATGTTGATGTCTTCAATTTCTAACCTTACCACCCTCAGTGAGCAACTCTCTCCAGTCCGGGATGTAGTAGGAAAAGCTGAATAACCTAAATGCACCCAGTCCCGTCAGATAATCACCAAGAAATTTTCCTACTTCAATATTCAGTGACCTTCTGCCTGTATTCATTTCTAACAAGGAGTGTTCTTTAATTGTCTCATGCTTCTATGCCCTCTCCGAGTGCTCTAGGACCCGAGGATCAGGGACCAAGTCTGTAGATCTTGTTGGTCAAATCCAGGGCTAGGTACGTAACTGTGTTGTGGTCGAAAGCAGTAGATTTTGAGTCAGACTGATCTGGCTTTGAGTGGCAGTGTTCTCACTTACTGGTTTATGACCTTGGGAAGGTTACCTGACCTTTCTGAGCCTTCTTTCTTATTTGGAGGCTTCTGCATTGGTTTCCTCCTGTGCCAAGAGGGTGGTGACATGAAGGGCAGTGTCTTAGTAGAGGTCCCATTGGGAACTTTTGGACAAGCAACTGTAGTGGCCCCATGGGTTACTGTTGTCTACCTTCTGAATTTAAAAACTGGTTGGTAGAATGGGAAGTAGGAGGAGAGAAAAAATTCTGGCAGAAATGAGCTTGGGAAGGGATGTTGTTCTGGAGAAATGAGCCTGAAACTTAGAGAAAAATGATCCATTTTTCTGTAGAAAATTCTTATACGCCAAGTGTGCTCTTGGCTCTAGATTTGATTTTTCTAATGAACCATATCTGACAGACAGATAGTCCTAAGGTGTTCAGTGATGGTATTTAGCCTTCAAAAATCAATCTCGTTAAAAAAAATAGTGACCTATACCCAAAAGTACATTTGCTATTTGGACATGAAGGACATAATTTTTGTTGCAGCTCAAGCTCAGTGCCTGCTTCCAAGTGGGCAATCAATGACTTTTGGTTTCCTCTCCCAAGAGTGCCAAACTTGCATTCCAGGCACTGTTTATTTATCTCGTCTGTCTTATTACAATATTTAAGTGTCTGGGAATTATAATGCATAAGGAATACATGAGATATTTTTAAACATAGTGTCTTATACTCAGAATTATCACAAAGCCAGTCAAAACGAAAAATAATATCCAGATTGTGCACTTTTTTTTTTTAAAGATTAAGGCCTTCATTTTAGAGATATTGGATTTAATGTGACAGTTTTAGAGGGACAAACAGTTTGTAAATTGAGAGTACATCACAGCTGAGTGGCCAGAGGTCAATCTCCTTTGTAAAATAAATTTTGAAGCACATGGATGAAAAAGGGTGTTATATTAGCTAGCACATTTGCTATAATCATAAAAACCAAAATACGGCTTTCTTCCATTTTATTAGTACTTATAAAATAACAATTTATGAATATATGTCCCTTTTCAAGATAGAGAAACTACAATCTTTGCAAAAAATACACACCCATAATTATTGCAATATCAAATAGCTCACATTTAGCAAGTCACTTGGTTTTAGGGTAGCATAGATATTTAAGTTAGCATAAGTGTAAGAGACAAGATTCTCAGTAATGTCCAGGTTACAGTAACTCTTCACCTACTTCTCAGTCATATATTTATTTCTAAATCCCACCTGCATCCTACTTACACATCTGTCTATATCTGAGGAAGCATGTCTGCCAGTACAGGAAGGAAGCAAAGCTTTCTGTAATAAATGGCATCATCTGCCGTGGGGGAAGTCATTGCCAATGCATGCACTCACTCACGCACCTCACGCACTCACACAACTCACTCGTTCATGCAACTCACTCATGCATTTCACACACCTCACTCATCCATGCAACTCACACACCTCACTCACACAACTCACTCACACATCTCACCCACTCACACAACTTACACACCTCATGCAACTCACTCACTCTGTATTAGCAGTACTATGGGTTGCAACTGACAGATCCTTATCTGAAATTAGGGGAATCCATTGCAAGGGACATCTCTCAGAATAGTTGCGCCCCTGAATGGGTTCGGAGCAATTGGGCTTCAGGAACAACCGGAACTATTGACTGGAATGTACTTCTCCTGTGCACGTCTGATTCGCCCCTCTCCTTTTCTTGTAGACTGGCCACTTCGTCCTTTTGGTCCATGTGGCAAAGGGTCCCTAGTCCAAAAGTTTGGAAAGAGACACAGCGTTAGGTAACTCGTATCAGATACCCATCCTCTACCAGTCAGTTATCAGGAGGGCATGATCATTTAAAGACTTGGTGGCTCCTTCAAGAATTATATAGATGAAGGGGATGAGGAGAGGAGCACGGAAGAGGGGTGCTGAGCACAGAGTTCCAGAGATGCCCACACACCCATCCTGCCATCCCAGGGAATACACACACAAAAACCACTCCTGAACTGAGAGGTTGCTTGCAGCCAAGTGATGGGAGACAGATGTGCAATTAAATAAGTGGAATAGAGTGATGGTGGCTTTGTAATGATGCATGCAATAATGAGTGTAAAGAATGGTGTCATAATGGAAGTAAAGAATCGGCGATCAGTTAGGTTAGCTCTGACACACCTAGCTTCTGCCAGCAGTGATGGCCACATAGCTGGGCACATGGCCAGCTTCCTGAAAATACTTGAGCCAATTGAATTAGGTATTCTGGAGACTCGGGCTAGCCTGGTGTTTTCTGAGTATAAGCGTCATGTGCTTTTTCATTAAGAGGCCTCTTCATCAGAATACCTTTTTGAATTATTCATTGAGTTCTTTTACAAGGGGAGAACTAAGGACATCATCAGGATTTTTTCATTTCAGCTAATTGTGTTGTGTTTTCAAGAATTCAAATGACCTGAATATTAGTTTCCTTTGCTAGCTCTCTAAACTGGTATTAAAAGACCTCCAGTAAGACTTGTTATACAATTCAGCTAGCCTGGCACTGAACTGCTTGTTAGTCACAAATTCCTGGCTTATAAGATGAAGACATACCCTTGTTCCTTGTCATGGGTCCCGCGACCCTTTGCCATTGTCCCTGTCTGTTGCTATTGTAGTGACCTGCACTAAGTCCACAAATGGTCTCATGGTTAGCGTCCTCCAATTTGCTCTTTTTCAGGCAGAGCATACTGATCCATCTTCTATTATATTGGGCCGACTTTCTGTCTTATTCCACAAATCTGCACCCCTGAAGCTTGGGTGCCTCAGGCTGAGCACAGTTCGCTTCAGTCTCACCATCTTGGCTTTGTTTCTCACACTCATATTTTACCGAGGCTTTTATTGTCCTTCGTCTGCTCTCTCTGCCTTTGCTTGCCTTTACCTTCGGTTTAATTAAACTTCTTATTTTGAGATCATTGTAATTTCACATACAGCTATAAGTACAGACAGTCCTCGGGTTACGTCGGACTCAGTACATTTCATGGTTACGTCGCCATCTCTCATTTATTTATTAAAAAAAAAAAAAGTTCTGTCATTTCAACGTATGTACTTATGTGCTTCATGTTTATTATTTATTTACCACAAGTAAAGGTCGGGAATTGTTATCTTCCTTTTAAATTTTTTTTACTGTTTCACCCCATTACTGCTGTGTATGTGCTCCATGTGAGTGACGTAGGTGCTTATGTAGGTGGGTTCAGACTTAGGGTGAAAACCGCATTAGGTCCCGCCATAGGAATGGATCTCTGTCGTAACCCAAGGACCTACTGTAGTGATCTTCTCTACCAAGTCCCCTCAGTGGTAACATCATCTTACAATACTATTGTACAGAATCATACTGTACAGTTATTGACATTGACAATCCAAATACAGAACCACTGCCATAATATTTTGACTTTTATGCTTCTTCTCATTATTCTTTTCTTTATTCACCTCTTAGACTCTTCTCCCTCTTCTCAGTTATATATTCATAGTCCCAGGTATTTAACTGAGTCCTGAATCCTAAAGATTTGTCTTCTCTTTGATAGGTTGGCTAAATTCTCATGTTGTCAGAGTTTCTAGGGATAGCAACTCCCATGTTTTTCTTTAAATCACTTCCCTAGAATAAATATAATTTGGATGGCTTAAAGTGGCCTTAAAATGCATGTGAAAACCTGATCTGCCATGGGTTCTGCTCGCCTTAATTCAGGCAAGTCACATTAGGATGAAGACTGTGTGGGGGCGGGTACGGTACTAATTCTTTGAGACCTAAGAGTCCTGATCAAAGGCACTTTCCCCCCAAAGGACAGTTCTGCACGGAGGATGTGGACGAGTGCCTGCTGCAGCCCAACGCCTGTCAGAACGGAGGCACCTGTACCAACCGCAATGGAGGCTACGGCTGCGTGTGCGTCAATGGCTGGAGTGGAGACGACTGCAGTGAGAACATCGACGACTGTGCCTTCGCCTCCTGCACTCCGGGCTCCACCTGCATTGACCGCGTGGCCTCCTTTTCATGCATGTGCCCCGAGGGAAAGACAGGTGAGACCAGCAGAACGACAGAACTGGACACTAGGCAAGGGGCCGTGAGCAGTCAGGATTTCTGCCTTCTTCTCTTTCATGTCGGTAGCTGTGTCCTTTTCATTACCAATCGGTAGGTACATATCACTTAAGATTGTTCTAGAAGTCTAATCAGTAGCCAAAGTGCCCTGGAGCTGGTCTTTTTCCTGATCGCTTTTGGCTCTCCTCTCAACTCTATGTAACGCAGTCTTTCGTCCTAAAAAAAAAATGAAAGTTAGTCACGATTGCCTTGGGAGCATCTGCTGGCCTCCTTATGACCTTAGGCTGAAAAGCGCCTCAGAAATTAAGACAAAATGACTAATGGATGTAGAGACTTCATATTAAGAAGAAGTAGCCCACTTACCCAGAAGGAGTTGGCAGGACAGAAGCATGTAAGTGCGTCCCAGCTCCCAGCGTCTAGAAATACTGCTCTCGGGGTGGGTTTTCACTGACTTCAGAGTTGACAGTGCTCTAGCTCCTCAGTTTCACTGCTCCTGGTTTTAGGAATAAAAACAAGGAAGGGAGGAAGTTGTGGAGGAAGATAGCTTATGTGCGGGAACTTGGGGCCCAGCAGTTCTGAAATGTCCTCATAATCTATACCTTCCGAGGAGCCCCACCTCCAGCCTTGCAGCAGGAGCCTTAGCTGCCTGTTCTTAACCTAGTTGCAGAGTGGAAGATCCAGTTCCCGCGTGAACCATGCAGAACATGGGGCCAGCTAATATCGCCTCAGTCCTGAGGGCACTTGAGCCAGGAATGCTGACATTATTAAAGGGCTGCCCGAGCATAGGCTGATGCTGTTGCACTGGTTTTTTTTTCTTCTGAGGCTAGTGAAATGCTGATCCCTTTATGATCACCGTGTGGCATGATTTGGGGAAAGTAGGTTAGTAGAGATGCATGCAGCAGTTTGGACAAACAGTAGAAAATGACGTATTGTCTACCTGAAATTACTGTTGAACTGCATATCCTCTGTTTTAGCTGCTCAGTTGGAGGGCTGTAGGAAAGTTATTGCCCTCTGCCTGTCTCTGTCATCTGTCCGTCTCACTTATGGCCCTTGAGGAGCCATCTAGCCGAGGGTGATGGGGAGGCCACCAGGGTTGTCTGCAGAAGCTCCTGACTTGCAGCGTGTTCCTGAGGGAGCATCAGGAGAAAGGAAAGTTTCCTCACTCTCCATGGTGGATTTTGATGAGACAGTATAAGGCTTTCCCTCCTCCACAAAAGAGACAACTCTTCCTCAACTGGGGTCATTTTCTCTTTGTTCTTGTGACAGGACTCTTGTGTCATCTGGATGATGCATGCATCAGCAATCCGTGCCACAAGGGGGCACTGTGTGATACCAACCCCCTGAACGGGCAGTATATCTGCACCTGCCCACAAGGCTACAAAGGGGCTGACTGCACAGAAGACGTGGATGAGTGCACCATGGGTGAGTTCCCCGAACCTCTCCTCTTCTTCCCATGTCTGCGAGCTCAGCAAGCATTTAAACTGAAGCACATTTTATCCCAGATCTCCTGTTACTTGCCCATTGTTTACAACCATCCTTTCAATGTAATCATATATTCTAGTCTGGGAATTGACATATACAGGTGGTCTGTACTTGATTCTTAATATAAAACCCGACCTTAGAGACAGTTTGGGCAAAAGAGCAGCCAGAGACACACGAGAGTGAGGTTGCCTAGTCTAATTAATTAATTTGTTCACAAGAAAATGGGAAATTGAGAATCAGACTATGAAATGCCTGGCCCTAACGCTTGTAACAGGCCGACCACGTCTATAGTCCACACATGTGGAAGATCGGTCGTGCTGTGATCCTGCTAACTGGTGCTTTTGTCTTTCAGCCAATAGCAATCCTTGTGAGCACGCAGGGAAATGTGTGAACACAGACGGCGCCTTCCACTGTGAGTGTCTGAAGGGCTATGCAGGGCCTCGCTGCGAGATGGACATCAACGAGTGCCATTCCGACCCCTGCCAGAACGACGCCACCTGCCTGGATAAGATCGGGGGCTTCACATGCCTGTGCATGCCAGGTACTTGGGCCCATCCGAGTGTGGGGTCTAGGCTGGAGGCACTGAACGGCGCTTCTCTGAGGTGGAGCACTCAGCACAGTGTGGCCATTCCGTGAGCCCCGTCAGCATCTCCTTCCCAGTAGTGACGGGGCTCCCGGCCAAGGGGCCCTTAGAGTGAGGCAGCGCTAGACTTCTTAGAGCTGGGAAGGCCCAGATAACCACGCCCATCATGTCAAAACTCAGGTACATGCAAGAGAAAATTTCAGAAAGGGGTGTTTTTATGCCAAGATTCTTTAATACAGTGTTTACCATAAGTGTCCTTTAAGTAGCAAGCCTTCCTGATTCCCTTATGTGTTACAAATACCATGCCTTTCCACTTGCAGAAATTAACTTTACCCGTAATTCTGTAGGAACCTGCCATGGCCATGTCCCATGATTCATGAGTTGTTCCCTGGAGCTCTTCTGCAGGGACCATTTCTGAGTCGGCAGAGAGCATAGCCAGTGCCGCTCACAGTAGAGGCTGCAGTGCTGCTGCCCTGTCACAGTGCTGGCACTCTAGCCTGGGAGCCTCCTGACCTTGCCTTGCACCCTGAGGACAGCAGCATCTCTGACCCAGCTGGTCTTTAGGACCAAGCAGTGGGGATCCCTGGACTGGTCAGAGAACGTGGCCCAGTCTTTGTTGGCACGTGAAGTGTGACCAGGGTCTTGGAGGTACCCTCATCCCCTTCATCACAGTGACCCGGATGTCCCAGAGGACACCCCTGTGTGATCTAACTGTCACTCTCATGGCATAGTTCCCCCGGTCCTCTGCAAAAATGTCTCTGCTCATGGAGGATGTGGCCATCTTTGTAAGTTTGTGCTTTCTTGGCTAGAATACACCTTTCTCTCTTTCTAAACCACTTGTGTGTTTCATTTCCTTCAGGTTTCAAAGGTGTGCATTGTGAGTTGGAGATAAACGAGTGTCAGAGCAACCCCTGTGTGAACAATGGGCAGTGTGTGGATAAAGTCAATCGCTTCCAGTGTCTGTGTCCCCCTGGTAAGTGCCCACCACCTGCCCTCTATCTGCAGAAGCACAAAGCTGACCGACCCCGGGGAGGGGAGGAGCGAGAGCAGGCAGAGAATGTGTGTGGGCTGTGCATGCGGAAGTCATTAAAGTGAACCCTTCAGGAAGGAGATGTGTGTACAGAGTCGGGGAGTCTGTCTCAGCTAGTGTGTCCTCCAAATCCTCTGTGGCCACAAGTCCAAGTCTGTTCGGAAAGGCCCGTGACCTCTCTGTCTGTGTGTACATTTCAGAAAGTTCATGCCTCACAGAGGCCTCCATTTCGGGCTCTTCGGGATTGTATTTTTCCCCCATGGGTTAGAGTCTCGAAGCCCGTTGGTGGGATTCTTATTTTTAGACATTTCACCTCTGAGTCCAGAAACGGCCAACATAAGTCAGTTTTTCCAAAGAATGCTCCGCCTCTTCTCTCCCTCCCCAGAGCTATTGTTGAAGACACGCCAGGTTTTCTGCCACACACTGTGGTGTCTCTCATTTCCAGTCTCAGTCCCTCTGAGGTGAAGCTCACTTGTTGGAGTGCTTCCCTGTAACCGTTCAGGCCTGTTTTAACCAGAAGTGAAAAGCGTGGGGAAGAAACAGAGGTGGAGACACACACCGGTGCCTCTGTGCCCTGAGCTTCCCCCTGTTGTCCTGGTCACTTGCTGGGGAGAATAATTTCACTTTTGCTGACCCTGTGGCATAAGGGAACTCAGCCCCACGCTGCTCGGGCGTCATTGTCGGAGGGAAGGCGGACGTGGGATAACCCTGTGACTTGTGTCCTCCTGTGCCCTCTGCAGGCTTCACCGGGCCCGTTTGCCAGATCGATATTGATGACTGTTCCAGCACCCCGTGTCTGAACGGCGCCAAGTGCATCGATCACCCCAACGGTTATGAATGCCAGTGTGCCACGGGTGAGATTCTTCTCATTTGTCACCCCGCCCCCCAGGGCCACCCGAACAAACAGGAGACTGTCCTTGTCCCACTGCCCTACCAGCCCCAGGCACTGGAGGGGCTGTTCTGCGTTTGGAGAGGTCTTCTTCTAGCTTGGTTTTTGCTGCTCTCTCTCCACTGTTCCCTTCTCCAACACCTGCCTCCTTGTCCACCACAATAGTGGGCAGGCCTGGACATTGCCATTTGGTGTCCATGTCTTTTTGGGACAGAGTTTGGCAGCGGTGAGTTTCCAGCTGGCTTGACTTATTCCTCTGGGAAAGGGAAACATTCCAGCTGACGGCTCTTTTTCACTGGGCTCCTCAGCAGGAGGCTCGTTGCTGTGTTTCTTGAGGCAAAGGATTGAACAAAGGCCCAGAAATCTAAGGGCTGTTGTGTGCAAGTGCAGGCGCTTCCTGCAAACAAGGCCGCACGCCCTAGGAGTTAGGTGGCTCTCAGACAGGTGTGAGAGCTCTGAGTCCTCTCTCCTGAACCTGCTACTCCAGTGAAAAAGAACCCATTTGTAAATATTCTGCATGTCTGGTCTGTGGCCACAGTTCCCATGTGGGAGGGATCTGAATAAGCCAAACATCCCTTTACACATTTGCTTCAGCCCAGACCAACACTATGGAAGTGGACTAGACGTTATTAGGAAAGGGGATGTCCGATTTCCTTTTTATCCCTCTGCTTAAGAGAGAAAGAAGTTAGGAATAGAATTAAAGACAATCTTTTTAATTTTAGAAAATGGGTTCTTAAACAGTTTTAAACATTATGTGCATTTCTTTCTGATCACAGAAAAACAATGTCATGGAAACAAATGATTACTATTTCCGTGGTATTGGAGCATCACCACTTACTAGGCCTACTTAGACTAGGCCCCGTCAGGGAACCCTGTACCCACTTCTGGCTTGATGAACTGTTGTCTCTGGCTGGAGGAGTTCCGGGTTCTGTCCTCCTCTGGCAGCTTATCCTCATGGAGAGACCTTCGGGAGAGGTGAAACACCCTGAGTCATGCTGAGAAGGGAGGAGAGGCTTACTGGAGTCCCCGAGAAGAGATTTAATGTCAAGTGAAGGAGTTTTCATTTAAATGCTTGTAACTTGGTCATTCATTTTATTCAACAAGTCTTTATGGAAAACTTACTATATATGCACAGTACGATGGGGGCAGTTGAGGAATAAAGAAAAGTTCTCTGTTCTGTCAACTCAGAATTGGGAGCCCAGCCAGTGTGGCTCAGTGGTTGAGCATCGACCTATGAACCAAGAGGTCATGGTTCAATTCCCTTACAGGGCACATACCCGGGTTGCAGGTTCAGTCCCCAGTAGGGGATGTGCAGTAGATGGCTGACCAATGTCTCTCTCTCATTGATGCTTCTATCTCTATATCCCTCTCCCTTCGTTAAAAAAAAAAAAAAATGAGGAAGATAAGGTCTGTGGAACCATGAATACAGTCCCTGTATATTGGGTTTGGGAGGAAAAGAATATAGAGGTAAATATACCAGGAAAGGTATTGAGGCCCAGTACGGAGTGAAACTGCAGTTTGAAGCATCTCTGCCAGGACAGCTACGATCCCTTAGGAAGAGGTATTTGAATTCTGGAGATTTGGTCTGAAGAACTTTATGTTAAGCACAGCTCTCTGGGCCTGCCTTATGAAGCAATGCCAATGGTCAGTGTCAAGCGCTCATTCCCGCAGGATGAATTCAGACATGGGGGGTGTAGGGTACGGGGATGTGGCTCCATGTATGTTCAGGTGTGGAGTATCTGCCTTGGTTCTTAAGCCTCCTTGGTCACATTCCTTCCCAGGATTCACTGGCGTGTTGTGTGAGGAGAACATTGACAACTGTGACCCCGACCCCTGCCACCATGGCCAGTGTCAGGACGGGATTGATTCCTACACCTGCATCTGCAACCCCGGGTACATGGGCGCCATCTGCAGCGACCAGATAGACGAGTGTTACAGCAGCCCCTGCCTGAACGAGGGCCGCTGCATCGACCTGGTGAACGGCTACCAGTGCAACTGCCAGCCCGGCACGTCGGGTAAGCCCACTCCCTCCCTGTTTCCTTTGGAGCTGCTCACGTAAAAAAGCATTCAAACCTGTGAAGCATTTTTGTGAGTGTATTTGAGTCACACTGTCAACAATTGCCAGGATGCAGAATCTCAACGGATTGGGACAATGCTTGGAGAGTGACCGTTTTTCACCTTGATTTATACATTACAATCAAAGGAGGGGACGTAATCGGGTTACATGAAATCTATTGGTGCTAGATTAGGAGGCGGGAGAAAGCAAAGTTGGGGGGCAAGCTCTGGGATTGGATAAAAAGTAAAATGATAGACACGTACTTCTTTTACTGAGGTGGGTGCAGGATAGTTAACAGTCAACAATTAACTCAATAACAATGAGGGGATTTGTAGTCTCCGTAGAGCGGTACCTGTGCTTTAAGGGGTCTGGAAAAAGGAAAATTACTTTGACTTTCCAACAATATGTAATGCAAAAAGGCAGTAGGCTCAGTTAAGGTAAAGATTTACCCTTGTCAGGGAAGCTACTGGCCTAGGATGCGACTACCCACCATAACTGCTTTTAGTTAAAGTTTTAATTTCAGACCCTCCTTTGTGACTACTTTAGGCCTTTGAGTTTGCCAGACCGCCATGCAGGCCTTCCCTGAGCTTGTCGGGTTAGCATGTGGCCCCTTTTTCATCCAGAGTGTTCGCTGCTTCTCAAACACGATTTACACAGATGTCTCAGACTTCCTGGGCAGACGCTTACATATCTAAAACACAGTCCTTTTTCCTGAAAGCTCGGCCAAAGCCACAGTCAGAAACATCTCTGAGGGAGCTGGCTCCAGCCAGGGGAGAAATGAGAGACACTCGTTTCTCAAAGCTGGTGATTTTAGGCATGTGTTTCCCTAAAAGAGGCATACCACTTCAAAAACCTGCAGTTATTCTTTAAAATGGAAAACCTTGCTTTTGTGGCTTGATTTTATTGTCATCTTTTTCTATAACCTCCACTGCAGGCTAATCTTCCGCCACTGGTCGCTGGTGGGCTTTGCGCAGTTGTGGGGATTAGGAGAGGGAGGAGCGACTTTGCAGCTCCCTGTCATTGAAAATTAGAATGCAGGGCCACCATTCCTCATCCCGGCTCCTCACCTCCTGTCTACAGTTCATTCCTACTGGCTGGGAGGGCAGGCTGCTCCTTGCTGGAGGTGTTGAATTACTTGCTCAGGCAGCAGCATTTCACAGGTTTCACTGGATTCTGTTTTACTTATTGGAGGAATCATTATGGTCACAACTGTGGTTAATGGACAGAGGAGCACTGTGTCTCAGATCAAAGGAAAGTGTACCAGTGGAAGATTAACCAGCGGGTGCCTTCGTCAGAGCGGACCTGCCAGTACAGCGCACTGATTTATTGAGAACTCCCTCTCCCTTTAAGGACAATGGCCTAGGTGGGGGCAAAGGAGGGGGAGCT